GAATGGCAGAATGGCAGAAGAGGTGAGGTCGAGAGTGCTGGAGCTCTGAGGTTGAATATCGAAGTGGCAGTAGGAGTTGGAGTTTGGGGGAGGTCTTGTATGTATAGGCAGGAAGGAGTCCGCCCAAATTCAAAATCTGACAAAAACGGTGGGTTGGCTTCTCGATGACCAATGGGAGCTCGCCACGTGTCACAATTTATGGCTACGTCAGGACTGAAGCGACGGGTTGAAGAGACGAAGAGCCAACCGAGCTACTTTCGACGAAAAGGCTGTAAGCCGAGGAACATGACTGGGGAAGGATTGCAGATTAGCTCGGTGAAGCTTTGGCATCTTGGGAACCGGGGAAACGTCATCTCGGTCGAAGTGAGTAATCCCAGTCACGCTTTCGCGGACGAAATTAAGGGGCAATTGAGAGGGTAATTTATGATCTGGAGTTGGGCCGAGGTAACGGCCGAGCAGGTTGAGGGCCCAACGGTGCATGGGGCCGAGCTGATCAACTATCCGCCCGGAAAGGGGCTGCCAGAACTTGGGCCGGGCAGAGTTTGGACTGTGTGCCACCCCGGACCGTACAGAAACTGCTCGGCCAGGAAGTGACCGATCGGACCAGGCTGCTCGGTCCGAGGATGGTCGAAGCCAGACAGACCGAGTGACCGGCGCCCGGAAAGGCGTGGTCAGCCGAGGTAGTTGTTTGACCGGCAGGAAGGCCGATCAAAGTAAGTATCCAGGCTAGGCTTGGCCGGGATGCCGCTTAGCCCGGTCCTCCGTGTGTTTATCCGGTTAGGCGCTTGAAGTATGAAGCATGGTATGACCGAGGTAGGGCAGCTCGGCTGCCATGGTTTATGCTGACAGATGGGATAGCAGAGCCACGTGTCAGGAGATGGCAGGGAGTGGATATGGGGCTCAGTGGGTATATAAGCATGTTCGTTAATACAATCGCTTGATAATTGGCTTGAGTTTAATCTGTAAGGATTTTTCAATCTTTACTGGCACGCTCGTATTTATGGTATTTTCCTTTATAAGAAAAATAAGCCAACACATATTAACAATATATATATATATATATACACAATTTTTATTACTAACCATTTAGACATGACAATTTTATACAAAGCCTTTGTTTGGGAAGATGAGTTGGGTTGGATTTAGGTCTATTTTAGTTATAAAAAGACAAATAGGCTTTTTAGCTCAATAAGATAAAACATCATATCCAACCCATAATCATTACATTCTTTCTTTCACAAAAAATAAAAAAAAATCATTTCCAAACGAGACTTTTTAACCACATTCTAAAATAGTCAAAAAGTCAATTTACTTCCCAAACAAACCCAAAGTAATATACAATTTGTGAAGAGTGTTGTGAGTCATATAATCATTTTCTACCCTTATTTACAATAGGAGTGAGACCACATAATCATAAGAGGTGGGTTTTAATTCTCATTATGAGTTGAAGGTAAAAAAATGTATGGCTATAATCTTACCCATTATTAAGGGTTGTTTGGGGTATCCTAAATAAGTACACTTTTTGACTTTTTTAACTAAAAAGTTGAGGAAAAAAAGATGGTTGTTTGGGTTAACTTTTTGACTTTTTACGAAAAAATGTGTATTAAAAAATTGTATAAATTAGTGTATAGGAAAAGATAAGGACAATAGGCAGTAGGTCGTACCGTCTAGGGAAGTGAATTGATAATAAGAAATGGTTACTTACTTTTCGGACATTGCATTGACGGTGCTGTTTGGTCCGTGGAGGCCATCACGGGTTCCGTTTTGATTATCTGAACCATGCAATATATAGAACTCGTCGAGTATTGTATGCTTGTAAATAATCACGTTGATCGGATATCGATAGCTATCTGATCGAATTTGTCTTTTTTTAACCGTTAACTATAATACCATCTATTTTTTTATACAAAACTAATTTAATTATGTAGTTAGCGATATCCGATCAATGTGATTTTTTTACAGACATATAGTACTTAACGAATTTTACATATTGATCGGTTTAGATTATCAAAACGGGACCCGTGATGGGTTCCCACGGGCTAAACAACACTGTGTTGTTTGTGCACCCCGCCTGTGCAATTTTTCCAAATCATTTCAGCAACTCAGCAATAGTCTGTGGGATGGTTCAGACTAAGTTGTAATTATTTGTGTGTAAAATTAATTTTTTTTTTGTGAATAATGATAACTTTTTAACTTTTTGAATAACTTTTTGACTTTTTAAATTTTTTTAGGTATCCCAAATCAGCCCTAAAAGTAATTTGAACAAGTGAAATCAATTAATACAAAGTATAATGCAATGACATATATAATAAAATACAAAGTATAATGAAATGAAATGCATATACATTAGACGTCGTTTGGCAAGTGGCTTTTTTAACCAAAAAGTCAAAAAGTCACTAAAAAAATTAAAAAGTCAACAACCCATATAAAAAAGTCAAAAATTTCATTTTCTCTCTACTTTTTGCATATTTTTTCGTAAAAAGTCAAAAAGTCATTCCAAACATACTAGTTTTTTTTACATCACATTTTAGCAAAACAAAGTCAAAAAATTACTAAAAAAACTTATTTCCAAACGAGGCCTCAGTACTCTAAATAAATTTTTAAGTGATGTTTTACTCATCTCAAGCATTTTTGTAAAATCTAAAACATATTCATACGGATGAAGTTAGAGAAATAATTTAAGAATATAAAAATTTGTGATAAAAGGGATTTTTTAATATTTTTTATTTATTTTTTATTTTTTTATGTTTAACAAATATGTCGTATCCTCGTATTATAGGCATAGACACATAATATTTTTTTTAATAAATTATAGGACAAACTTCATTTTACTTTCTTAGGCCTCGTTTGTTTTGAGAGATAGAATGGAGGGGATTGATAATGAGGGAATTAATAGTGAGGGGATTGTTAGTGAGGAATTGTTAAATTATTTTTATATAAAATAATAAAACAAATAAAAAAATATAAAAAATTAAACATTATATTTAAAAAAAATTCCCAATATATAAAAAATAAAAATTTTTTTAATCCCCTCACTATTTTCTAATACCATATCTACCTCCTCCTTACCAATTCCCTTTCCAAGGATATTAGCAATACCAAGGGACTAATAGTCCCAAGGCTTTCTCTGCAAACAAACATGGGCTTTAGTAATACCTTGGTATTACTAGTTCCAATACCCTCCCTATAGCCCAAAACAAACGGGGCCTTATGGTTTGGGTCGAGTGCGGATTACCTCACTGACATTCAGAAATCACTACATAACCCCTATATGGTTTGTGAACTAAAATGCACAATAACTTTTATTAGCATAACGTATAAATTTACTTTTATGCCCATGTATTTTTCCTATTCTCTCTTTTAAATTAAACTTTCAAATACATATATATATACACACACACCTATTTTCTTTCTTTCTTCTTTCTTTTGAATTGAACCTCCATCTATATATAGATATATACACATATATTTTCTTTTTTCTGCCAACTCTAACAAATTTCAACTTCAAAATTTTTTATGTGGTTTGTGAATTAAAACGCACAATAACTTTTATTAACATAACGTGTAAATTTACTTTTATGCCCCTGTCTTTTTTCTATTCTCTCTTTTAAATTAAACCTGCAAATATACATATACACACACACACACCTATTTTTTCTCTTTCTTCTTTTTTTTTGAATTGAACCTGCATATATATATAAATATATGCACATATATTTTCTTTTTTCTGCCAACTCTAACAAATTTCAACTTCAAAAAATTTTGATTGATGCAAAACACTAGAAAAACCCAGCATTTTTCACATATTACATTATATATATACATATATAATCTATCAGATTGAATTTGACCCAAATATATACATATTTATATATATTATGAATCTGACCAAAATTTGGCCCAAATTTTAATAACCCAATTTCAATCAGATTGAATTTAGGTCTACAGTTTGCCATGGCTGCGGCTGCGGTGGTGGCGGTTTCACCGGAATAGCAACAGCCAAGGCTTTGGCAATGAAATTTCGAGTCGAAACTGAAGAATTGTAGGTGGTGTGGGTCTTGGTGATGGACTTAAATGTGAAGCTTGTTCTAATATATGGGTTTGTGATTAGTGAGTGTCGTTTTCAGTGGTTTCTTTGATTTTGAGTGTTGGATTTGAGATTGAGAGTTGGTGATGATGATGATGATGACAATGACTTTAAAGATCGAGTTCTATATGTGGGTAGAGATCGAAAACCCAGATTGACAGAAGATGTGAGAGGTAAAGACGTCATCATTGTGGTGGCATTGTTATAGAGATCGAAAACTATAGCTATATGTATATATCAATGTAAAACCTCTTAAAGACTCGCTCTGATTTCCTACTTTCTTCATTGTCACAATTTTCTCCTTAAACACTCACATTTTCCCAAATTACAAGCTTTCAAACCCTCATTTTCAACCCATCATAGAGAGAGAAACAGTAAAGAAATAAGGAAGAAGAATTATATATTTTGTAAATTTGAAGGTGAATGAGAGGTAATTTAGTCTTAAAAATCAACTTACTCTCCTCTAGGGCGTAAGCCTCACATTCCATTAATTTAGATGAAAAAGTTGACGGTGTACTTTGGTTCATAAATCACATGGGAGTTATATGGTAATTTCCAAATATCAGGAAATAAACCGCACCTGACCCAAATTAGAGGAGAGTAAAATGAAGTTTGCCCTAAATTATATGCTCAGATCTTTATATTTTACATAAAATTTTACTTCAACCCCTCAGTTTTTAATTTCAACAATTAATCTATCATGGCTTTAATCACATGATAATAGAACCCGAACTTTAATAAATTTATAGAAACTTAAGATTGCATTACATTGATTACAACTTTAAAGGCAAATGTGAAATTTTATGTAAAATATGAGCGTGTTAAGTGCAATTAACTCTACAAGTATGTTGCCCTACTGAGGGTCTCTCTCCTCTAGAATAGAGCGGTGGTGTTGCAGAGACGAGAGAGAGAGAGAGAGAGAGAGAGATGGTGAAGAAGGAAGAAGAAGGAAAGGGAAAGGAAGGGAAAAACCTACTGGGGAGGCCGAAATTCAAGAAGCTGGATAATGGGAGGTTCAAATGCGTGGAGACTGGGCATGAAGTCCCTTCTCACGCCAAGGACTCGTACGCTCAGAGCAAGCACTGTCGGATTGGACTCATTGACGCCGCTTTGGCTCGTAATAAGCCCCCTCTCAACTTGTTCCACCAAGACCCTCTCGTCCGGTCTGTAAACCTCTCTCTCTCTCTCTCTCTCTCTCTCTCTCTCTCGGTTTATTTAGGGTTTATATATCTTCATGCTCAAGGTGGATCGTGGCTTCTTTTCAATTAATTTAGGGGTTTTGGGTATTTGTGATTAAAAAAAAATTATTTTCTTGTGTGTAGATTGAAGAAGTTTGTATTATTTTGTGAAGAGACGAGTTTATGTTAATTTAGGGGTTTTGGGTATTTGTGATTGAATTTTTTTTTTATGTTTTTTGTGTGAAAGCTTGAAGAAGTTTGTATTATTTTGTGAAGAGATGGGTTTATGTTAATTTAGGGGTTTTGGGTATCTGTGATTGAAAAAAAAAATAATGTTTTTGTGTGAAGGCTTGAAGAAGTTTATGTTATTTTGTGAAGAGATGGGTTATGTTAATTAGAGGTTTTGGGTATTTGTGATTGGGAAAAAAAAATTTATGTTGTTGTGTGAAGTCTTGAGGAAGTTTGTATTATTTTGTGAAGTGATGGGTTTATGGTTTTGGGTACTTGTGATTGGCAAAAAAAATTTATGTTGAAGTATTGAAGAAGTTTGTATTATTTTGTGAAAAGATGGGTTTATGTTAATTTAGGGGTTTTGGGTATTTGTGATTGAAAAAAAAAAAATTGTTTTTGTGTGAAGTCTTGAAGAAGTTTGTATTATTTTGTGAAGAGATGGGTTTATGTTTGTTTTTAGATTATTTTGATACAGGCCAGATTGATGATTTGAACGAGTTTCTAGGTCTGCTTGTTTGGATGAAAATAATTTGTGATTTTTTTCTTTTTTTCAATGTTGGGGTAGGAGGAAATTCATTATTATGGTATCCATTTGTTTGCAGAGAAAGACAAGGGAAACCTCAAGGATTTTAGCAAGGTGTTTGGAGCCAAATTCTTTTAGAAATAGGATTGCAAAATGGGCAAGGAATTGAGAAGGAAAACTCTTTTAAGATGATGATGCCCTTATTAGCTAGTAGGCAAGTTACAAGAAGTGGTGGTTGGGTGGGTAATGGGTTTAGATAAAAAATTTACTAGTTCCTATAAAATCCAACCATTTTTCATGAGTTTTTTCCCCTCTTTCAAATCCCATTATAAATTCCTTTGTTTCGAAACATATCAAATTCCATTTTCAAATGCCAATTCCACCATTCAAAACACACTTTTAAGTTTATTTGCAAGCTTATTTGAGCTAAGACTAGTTATTGCACTAGCCAATTCGGCTTTGTTGGGTTGTGACTTTTTGTCTTATTGGGTAATGTGTAAATAAAAATTTCTAAGATTTGGTCTTGAGTAATGTAATTATTCTTCCATTTTTTTCTTAACAATTAAATAGAGTAAATGATATACTTTATTTTAAGAGCTTCAGCATAAAAGCCTATCAAGCAAATGGAGCATAAAAGAAAAAGAGGAAGCCATGACTAGAAAGCGTTTTCTATATAAACATGAAAAGCTATTCCGTATCTGTCACGACCCCAAACCGCCCCTAGTAGGATGGTGCAGTGATAGCCAGTAATCCGAGATTACCGAAGGCCAACTTTTAAAAATTCACACACAATCAGAGTATTACATATGGGGCTAACAAGTGCGGAAGCAATAATTTACAATACAAGTGGTCCATAAGAGCAGTACGTAGATCAAATGAAATGGCATACATCTTTACATAGTTTTACAACTTGAATACAACCAAAATAAAATACATATTACATCTTTATAAAAGGCTTCTCGAGCCGACATGTTCAAAATACATAAGTTGCAAAATTGCCGACATCCTCACAGTCGACATAACATGCATGCAAAACACACATCTCGGCGTAGTCGACTTTTTACTTGTTACCTACATATATACATAGGGAGGGTGAGCTTGGATACTCAGTGAATGGTATAAGTAATAAAGGGGTTAAATGAATGATACTCGAGATCTTTGCAAAAATATACATATCATATCTTGTACAAAACGTGGGATGTATCTAGTTCATCAACTTGATCTTACAAAACTAACTTACTTACTTACTTTGGATGTTAATAGCATCTACATAATACAAGGGATGACATTCCGGACTTACAAGACTCACGCGGTAAACCGTCAGTGGCAAAACAAGACAAAATAAGGGAATAATCGATCCGGAATCGATTAGACAAACCCACCCGCACAAGGCAGTCAGTGGCAAGGGAGATATCTCAAACAAAGGTGCTACAAAAGTTTAGAGTCCTCTAGCACAAAGGACCTATGTTACAAAGGCCCGTAGCCCCCTAACACGAGAGTACTGTGAAAGTTTAGAGTCTTCCAGCACAAGGGACTTTCAAAACAAGATGTGCAGTTGCATTATAGTCCCCTGGCACTAAGGATTTTCAAAACAAGATGTGCAGTTGCATTATAGTTCCCTAGCACTAAGGACTTTCCGAGAATGTCATCAAAACAAAACTTACTTGATACATAAAAATAGAGGTAATCATTCATGCTTGATCAAATGCTTTTATCAAAACGAAACAAGGCTTTATCAAATCTTTATAACATAATTTTATTAAAAATACCACTCACATAGCTCTTGGGACGTCGGGATCAAGGCAAGGGTACAAGTCCTACAGACACATGGTAAAGCCTATTGAATGCACTCTTAAAAACAAGCTTCACATGAATGGAAAACATTTAGGGAAAACATGCTGGGAGTCAAAACATTGTTTTACATGTCAGGAAGACATGTTGGGTACCAACCAAGTCTTTGCCGAGGTCCCACACCTCCTGACCGAGGTGTGGCTACCTAGGCTTTGGCGTGCGGCTGCATGCCGAGGTGCGCACAAGACAAACTAAAAGTGTAAGTGATCATGCAAGATAGGCCAAGGTGAGATACGACGCTTGGCCTAAGTGTGAGGTCTAGGTAAGAGTGATTTCGGCGACTACACTTAGGGAAGTGAGGTCTGGAGATCTGGGTTTCCACCCGTGAAGAACATGAAGAACATGAACATGAAGATCATGAAGAATATGAATGCTAAAATCATAACTTCTTTATTTACAAAATCTGGGATTTCATGCTATGAGTTCGAAAACATGGACCTGGGTACCCATACTTGAAAATCATATGAAAACAAACACAAAAACATGGATCTTGGCATGAACTTTCGGATCAAAACATGACTTTTCTTGAAGAACACATGAATATTATTTTCTCTTTCTAAAATCGAACTTCAAAGCATGGCTTACAAATCATATTCAGTCATGCAATGCAATAACATGAACATAAAGAACAACATGAGCAGATCAAGAATCTAACCTTAAAACACGGATCTAACGGTTCGATCTATAGGGATCAAGCTTGGAAATCTACTCTCCCTCAAGAACTCCTCTTCTTCTCCTAGAGCTTCTCTCTCACTTCAAAACAAGGATATAACAAATGATAGGTTTCTCTCTCTGCCGGCTGACTTAACACTCAGCTCGGACACGTGGCAACGGCTGGTTGGTTCTCCTCAAAAAGGTGATAGATTGACATGACAAGACAAGACAAGACTATGACAAAGTGTATCTAACAAGCTACCCGGTAAGGCACTCCGGCAAGTGATGATATCAGCTAAGGACAAAGCTTCGGCAACTAAGGTGACAATGACCTCGGCTAGGAAGGACAACACTTGACTAAACTGTGTCACACCTTGGCCTAGATGTGCCACACCTTGGTCTAGGTCATACCACTCCAAGACAAGATCACTTAGGTGCAAAAGTAACATCTCGGCCTAGATAATACACATCTCGGCCTTGGTGATGAACACCTCGGCCTAGATAATGACATCTCGGCCAATATGTCAGAGCGAAGGTGGAGGTCAAACAAAGGGGTTCCAAGATAAATTTTAGACTGAAGATGACCTCGGCTTGGAATGATCTAAGCTTAACATAACTTAGGCTTGGCATGACCTAGGCTTAACATAACTTAGGCTTGGCATGACCTAGGCTTAACATAACTTAGGCTTGGCATGACCTAGGCTTAACATAGCAGGGAAGGGACAAAGCATGCAAGCAACACTTAAGCAAAACAAGACAAGATTCATGAATGCAAACTTAACATGGCAAAACATATAAATGCATGCAAACATGACTAGGACATGAATGTGGGTTGTTACAGTATCAGCTTTTTCAGTGTTTTTTTTTTGTTTTTGTTGGGTGCTGATTTTAATCTTTTTTGTGTGGCCTTGTAGCTCAAAATTGATCTGTAAGCTAACAGGAGATATCGTCAATAAGTCTGAGGAGCATATATGGAAGCACATCAATGGAAAACGTTTCCTCAACATGTTAGGTTTGTAATTATTTTCAATTTACCTTCTTTGTGCTCTCTTTAGTTTCACATTTTCATTCATTGGAACCCTTGTAATGGATTATGGATGACTTGTGAAATCTATATAAATGTTTGTGTATTTGAAGGGTGCCGTTTAAAGATCCAAAATACGGGAAATAGGGTGCCTCTTATATATCTGAACAATTAGCTTTTTACAGAAATGTGGTCTTATGTGAACAGAGAAAAAGGAAGCTGAGAAGGAAACGCCAAATGGATTTGCAGAGCCGGATGAGCAGCCACCAGAGAAAATATCACAGCCAAAAGCAGATAGTACGAAGAAAAAGAAAAAGAAAAAGAAGCCGGAGGAGGATGTCGCTGAAGTTATCTCTGAAGTAAAAAACTCTTCTGATAAGGTCAACGGTACTGAAGAAGTTGACTTCTGGATGCCTCCAGTCGGAGAACGTTGGGACTTTGATGATGGAGGGGATCGATGGGCTTCTGATTCAGAGTCAGGGTCAGAAACTGAAGATGCTAATGGAGCAGGTGTGTTTTCTTCTTCAGGACTTTGTATGATGCTTTCTTTTTCATCTTCTGAATCATTGGCTGATTTAAATTTGATTTTGTAATTATGCTGTTGAGAATATAATTGACTCGATAAATAATTATGGTTGAGATATTTAATTTTCTTAGTCCGCCAGTGCCCATGCTTGTTTCTCACTCAAATTATTAGCCTTTTAGTTTTCTTGGGATGAAAAGATCTTCAATTGATACCAGAAGTGGATATATGTATAGAGTGAATGTCATATCAAACGCATATGAAGTTCACTTCATTACAACTTGAAAAATTGGTTTTATTACATGTGAAAGTTGGTGTGGCTGCATGCCTACTCTGAGTTAACCTTCTTTGGTTTTGTCTTTCCTTCTCCATTTTATTTGTGAAAAATACTATGCAGTAATCGTCTCTCACCATTTAAACAAGAATTGTTTTCTTAGCAAGGATATCTGTAATATTTAAAAAATTCCCAATAATGTATTTGTTACCATTTAAAAAGGGAGTGTTTCAGAAAATCAATCCCAAGATAAGAACGCTGATAATATTCTGCATGCCTAATTTACCATTATATTTTTATGATAACACCCACAATAACTTTATTGCCTACAATTATACCACTTGGAAAGATGGTGATGAAAGTTGTCAAACATTTTGATCCGGTTTTCCTCTTGCCCCTACCCACTTGTTCGGGAAATAATCTTCAAATGTAGTAGTTTCAAACCAACCTACAAATGCAGTAAATATGTTTTCTTTTCAACTGTCTAGATTATTATGTTCTAAAACATCAGCATTTAGACTATTCTCTTCTGGTTTCTAGTTGATAGAGTTAATCATACATGACTGGTCTAAAATTGGATCTCTGAAACATCAATGATCTTTTCTTTCACCCAGATGCTGCTACTGAAGAGGGTAAAGATGATGCAATGGAGATATCTAAAAGGTGTTTTGCTTCTTTGTGCTGATCTACCTATCCCTTTTCCTTGGATAAACATTGAATTCATGTCATTGGGGTGGCTATTTTAAATGGTTTGTTTGCTTTGCAGGACTAAGCGAATGTCTATAGAAATTGGACCTAGTAACTATGCCTCCAGGAAGAAGAAAAATAAGACCAAGTCCACATGATAAAAACGCAGTGATTGAGCTTCAAAGTTCAAAGGTGAAAGAGTTTTGGGAAAGTCTTTACATTTCTAGGAATGAATTTTTTTTCACTGTGCACATAATGGAATTTGTTATTTCTTTCATTTCCTGTACTGCACTCAAAGGTGTTTTAAGTTAATAGACTAGCCCCATGTTCTTGTTTATTTTATGGTTGCAGTATTTATATTTTGCTTTGTGTTTTTGGTCACGATGATGTTTGGTGCTTTGTCCCCGATTAATTTTCTTGAGTTTATGTGACAGACACCTTGTCTCGTATATACTGGTAGACAAGCCATTGCTTGAGTTTATGTGACAGACACCTTGTCTCGTATATACTGGTAGACAAGCCATTGATCCATCTCTTAGAGGTTCAAATCCACGACTTTTCATGTGTAGGGTTGCAAATGAGTCAAGTTGAATTTTACTGAGTTCGAGCTCGGCTCGATAAGTAATTAGGCTTGAGCTGGGCTTGGCTTGGCTAGATTTTTTTAATATTATTTAAATAAAAGATATTATTTATATTATTTAATATATAAATAATATATTTATTATATAATTTAAATAAAGATGTACGAGCTGAATTTATTTGAATTTGATTTAGTCGAGTCTTTAAGAGTCAAACAGAGGTGAGCCTATTCGTGCACAGTTTAGTTCATTTGTAATTTTAGGTATAGACTCGCGGTTTAAATCTGATTTTAGTTATGGTACCTTTGTCTCGTCTCTGGACATGCTCTTAAGATGCGATTATTTTGTCATGAGTTGGAAAAAGATATAATATATTTATAAGGGTAAATTATATTGACACCCCTTGAGGTTTGGTTCAATTATTACTCACCTCTTGATGTATTAGAAATTATATTCTCTCTTCTGTGATTAATAATCTTATTTCACAAACCCCTCTATTTATATAAAAGGTAACAATTCTTAGTAGAAAAATAAAGAAAATTATATTTAAAAAAAAAGTAAAGGAAATGGGGAAAAAAAAAAGAAAGTAAAACAAAGCAAAAAGAGAGAGTTTGAGTTCAGTGTCTTCATTTCGTCTAAATAATTACAATGACAGGGGATTGGTGTAATTTCGCAAACGTCAGGAGATGATATGTATTAAACCAAAATCTCAAGGGATGTAAGTGTAATTTATCCTATTTATAATCATCATTATATAAATATGGTATTTGTTTTAATTATTACTATGTAGTATTATTATTTAAACAATACAAATGAATAAGTATATTATTCTCTGCTTCAATTTTTCTCTAAACTTTTGGAAGTGCTTGACTGTGTTTTTTTTTTTTTTTTTTTTTTTTTTAGAACATGGAAAACATTATATTAATAAAAAGAAAAAGGCTTTTTTTTTTTTTTTTTTTGGAGAACATGGAAAACATTATATTAATAAAAAACAATAATAGTACAAAATCAAAAGATCAAACCGCCATCCCAATTAAACAACAAAACAAAAAATAAACAAACAACAGACAAAAACAAATAATAAAATTTTTTTTTGCCAAAAATAACAGTTACAATTCAGGGAAATTGCTAATTGTTGAAATTGCTGATTTACTTTTACTTGTAATGATCGTGAAACAATTGTCTATGGTAGCACATTTAAAATGTTTTATATTGATGCAGACAAACGACTTTAATATAATGAGATTAGCAACATCAGGAGGGGTTTAGTTTTATTAAGCTCCTTATTTGATCAATTTGTTAATCTTATGAACTATGAATCCCAAATTTTTTATTAGAATAAAAGCTTAATAGAAGCTTTATGAAAAAAAAATTAATATGAGTCTCATATAGACTTACATATGTTTTCTAATTGACTTTTTTGTTTTTTAATCAAAAGTTCCTCAACTATGCTCTATTATGTGAGAGGTCTGGAGTAAAAAATTTAAAATAAAAAATTATTTGAATGTGTTTTTTTCTTTTTTTTATAATAGTAAAATTTTACTATCTGCAAAGTAAAATTTCACTATATTTTTCAAATATCAATCTAAAATTAAAATAAATAAATAAACTAATTGAAATTTCACATTAACAATAAAATTCATGAATTTTGGATAGATTTTTTTTGTAATATGCCAAGTAGTTTTTGGCTATGATCGTAGTAGTCGTTGTGGTTGTGATAATATGATGATGGAGAGAGTTGTTAAAGGTGATGTTTAGAATAAATTGTTGAAGGAGAAGAGTTATTAAAGAAAAGTGAGAGTGTTGATGAAATATAATCATTACATATCTTCACTTAAAAATAGTTGTCAAAGAGTAACCGACTGTTAATCATGGTCGCTAGCTAGTGGTGATTGATATAGGGCCAATTTGGGAATATGGTTAAAAGTCAATTTTTGACTTTTAATTTATTTTGAGTTATATTACCTTTCTATTTTTTTACATATGTTTTTTAAAAAAAATTAAAAAAAAAAAAAACTAACTTTTAGCTAATTTTTCAAAACAACTTATAGGTGATGGTGATGGTGAGGGAAGAGTCTAATGAAATTTCTTTCTTTCTGTTTTTATTTTTTTAAATTTTTTATTCAACTAATGAAATTTCGCTTATATATATTTTAATCATATTTTGCACTTTATATCTATATTCTATAATGAATTTCTGCCAAGTATGGCCGTATACGACATGGCAGTGGCTTTGGTCCAGTCCAAGGTTGGACTAGACGGTGCTGTTGGACCCATAGGGGCCACCACGGAACCAAAGTCACTGTCATTTTGATAATCCGAACCGTTCAATATGTAGAAATCGTCGAGTACTATATGCTTGTAAAAAATCACGTTGATTGGATATCGATAGTTATGTGAACAAAATAGTTTTTTATCAACCGTTAATTGTTTCACCGTCTATTTTTTTTTTATATAAAATTGATTTGATCACATAGCTATTGATATCCGATCAACGTGATTTTTAACAGACATGTAGTACTTGACGAGTTCTACACATTGAACGGTTCGGATTATCAAAACAAGCCCAAAAAATAAGCCCCACGAACTAAACTGGACGGATCAAATCTTGACCTCAATTTGAGACAAGCTGGACCCATACCACATAGGCCATGTGGTGAGACGTGGGAGACAGCAAGGATTTCAATCTCCTCTCAGGCCTTCCACGTTCAATTTGAACCTCTTTGTAGGTTCACATGAATCATATATATAAATCAAATAAATCCAATAATAATGCCAACCTAACACTGCCTTAAAAACGTGAAGCATGTCCTTTGACGTGTGAGTCAGCACAAGAGACCCACTTGCTCATGCCATGTAATAATTCAAATGATAATCTCCGACTTAAAAATGACTTGGTGCATGAGTCTTTTTCTTTATCTTAAAAGTCAAGTCATTGGTTAATAACATTATTTTATTAAAAAACAACCAGTTTTAAAAAATTCATTTTTTATCAAAAAAAATTTCATTTTAAAAATGACTCGGTGCCTGGGTCTTTTTCTATATCTTAAAAGTTAAATCATTGGTTAAAAACATTATTTTATTTAGGACAAATTACACTGACACCCTATGAAATTTATGTTTATTATAATTTCCCTCTTCAACTTTTGAAAATTACATCTCTTTCTCTGAGGTTTAAAAGTTTTATTACAGATTCTCCCTTCAGCAATTTAATTTTTTTTAAATATCAATTTTGCTTTCACTAGGTAAATTACATTGACACCCCACACATTTTAAAAATTACAATCCCTACCAAAGGTTTAAAGTAACATTACCAATTGCACCCTCGATTAGTATTAGTCGGAAAAAAAAATTTTATTGAAAAAAAAATTAATTGAAAAAAAAAATTTGTTAGTAAATTTTTTAAATTTCTGTTTAAAAACCAACGTAAACTCATTTTTTAAATTTACGTTTTTTCTCAAATTTACAAACTGAGACAACAATTATAAATTAAAAAAATTATCAAACAAGTTTTTATGACAATATTTTAAATTTTGCAAATATAAATTGAAAATTGAAAACGAAATAGTTACTGAACAGGTTTCAGATGGTAAAAATGTCGTAAAATTAACAAATAATTAAATAAGTTACCAACGTAAGAAATGACTTATTAAGAGATTCTTAGGCTATGTACGGTTTGATTTTTAGAATTTTTTTTAAAAAAATTAAAAATTAATTTGGTTTAGAAGTAAAAAATAATTATCATTTAAGGGTAAAAAATAATTATCATTTTAACTTTTGGACAGGTAATATACATACGTATGACTGTTTCAATTTAATTTGTAAAAACTTATTTCTAGCCACTCGAAAGATAAAAATTATATAAAAATGATAATTATTTTTTTATTTTTTATTTCTTAAACAAATTAATTTTAAATTTTAAATTTCTTTTCCTAAAAATCAAACCATACATAGCCTATGAATCTTTTGATAAGCTATTTTTTACGTTGGTAACTTATTTAATTATTTGTTAATTTTACGATATTTTTACCATATGAGGCCTGTTTGGTAACCATTTCGTTTTTAATTTTCAATTTATATTTAAATTTTTTTAAAAAAATTGTCATAAAAACTTATTTGATAATTTTTTTGGTTTATAAATGGTTGTCTCAGTTTGTAAATTTGAGGAAAAAACGTAAATTCAAAAAATGAGTTTACGTTGGTTTTTAAACAGAAATTTTAAAATTTTACTAACAATTTTTTTTTTCAATTAATTTTTTTTTCAAATATATTTTTTTTCAATTAATTTTTTTTTCAATAATTTTTTTTTTTCCAACTAATACTAACCGAGGGGGCAATTGGTAATGTTACTTTAAACCTTAGGGAAGGGATTGTAATTTCTAAAATGTGAGGGGTGTCAATGTAATTTACTTAGTGAGGGCAAAATTGACATTTTAAAAAAAATAAATTGCTGAGGGGAGAATCTGTAATAAAGTTTTAAATCTTAGAGAGGGAGATGTAATTTTTAAAAGGTGAGGGGGGAAACTGTAATACATATAAATCCCAGGGGGTGTCAGTGTAATTTGCCCTTTTATTTAAAAACAAGAAGTTTAAAAGATTCATTTTTTATCAAAAAAATCTCATTTTAGTTAGGGTGACTACTAATAAGGGGTGTTTTGAGAAAATGGGTTAAAAATTGACTTTTTAACTGTTTTAGTTTTTTTTTTTTTAAAAAACGTGTAAAAAATGTGAGAGGTTATATGACTTAACATAGGTTAAAAGTCAAAAAATAACTTATAATT